GACTATTTGCAGCAAGAAACTCAGAGAGCACATAGGGGCACAGCAGGTCAGACAAGCCAGCATAGCTGCCACAGTACTGTCTGGATGCAGAGATATTAAAATCCCTTGAGGAAACCATATTCTTCATTCATCTAATATTTATTACTTTTAAGGTAGACTGAAAGTAGTAGTTTGCCTCTAGCAAATCAGAATATTCAAATAATTTGTCATTTCAAATGAAAAGAAACATAAAATAATAATAGAAACCTTCCCTACCTTCAGTAATTGGATGGAAACCCACTCATTCTCCATTGCCTTTTCTAGTTATCACCCAGACCTAAAGCAGTCCCAAACCTAAATGAAAAACCTCAACATTTTTCCTATAAAGACCAATCCAGAGTATTCTCTCACCTGCTCAGCAGCAGTGGTCACACAGATACTTTATATCACTGGCACTGAGCAGAAATGACAAGTACTAGCTACTCTTGGCTTTGAAGAGGCTGTTCCCATTACAGAGATGATAAATGTTTCTACACTGACAAGCCTTTACTCTTTCACACCTGTTTAACATTCTGTTAAAGCTTTTAGGTGCATTTCCAGAAACACCAATAGTCTAAGTCTGTTCTGATGAAGATGGGTAGCTGCAGAGCTTAGTCCACTATAAGGCGCATTTCCAGAAACACCAATAGTCTAAGCCTGTTCTGATGAAGATGGGTAGTTGCAGAGCTTAGTCCACTATAAGGTGTTTCTACACTGACAAGCCTTTACTCTTTCACACCTGTTTAACATTCTGTTAAAGCTTTTAGGTGCATTTCCAGAAACACCAATAGTCTAAGTCTGTTCTGATGAAGATGCTGCACTGCAGAGCTTAGTCCACTATAAGGCTGGTGATAAAACATTTTGTGGTAGTGCTGCTCTTTGAAATAGTAGAATATGGAGAATATAAAGCAAAGATAATGCCTGCAATTGCTCTAGCTGAACTTCAGACATGGACTTTATTCTTGTTTGATCAGGAAGTCAGAAGAATCTCTTTCCATAACAGAGGCCATCAGCCAGGAGGATTATCTGTGTGATATCCTACTCTGGCAAGTGTTTGATGTAAATGCACTGAGACAAATGTTACTGTCCCACGTATTAAAAAATATATATTTAAGCACATCTGTCTTTTCCACCAATGCTACTCATTTATATTCCAAATACTTTAGAAACAGCAACCACACATCATGGACATCACATGAAGAATATGTCCTTACAAAACCTTCTTTAATATCCAACTTCACAAATGACAAAACTGCAGCACTGAAATGCCTAGTGTTGGACAACTAAATAATCATCAAGTTCCATCTGTCTACATGAAATAATTCAAGACACTAGAAGCATATGACAGCTCGATGACTAACATCCCCAAGAAACCACCACTGTGCTGGAAATGGCTTTCATCTTAATTCTGAGCCCTAATTTTTTTCCCCAGTTGCACAGTTTCCTATAATTGATTACTCTAACAGATTTCACTGAGCACCTTCAGAAAAAAAGTGTTTCTGACAGTCACTTGCCAATTTTTTTTAGGCAAGGGCATTTGAGGCAGAGATTTCCAAAGCAATCAATCATTTGTAAAAGTATTCTAGGAAGTTAATGAACTTTTACATTCAGAAAGTTTTAGATCACAAGAGATGGACTTTTTTTCCTAAACAGTTTTAAGACATTGAATATTAGGAGTTAATTTCTTGTTAGCAATTCCAATAAATGAGTTTTCTTTTTTTTAGAGTAACAAAACCTCAGAAATGTATGCAAAACCTACAAGCACTTCACAAAACCAGAAACCTCTGGTTTTATACCAAATTTACCTTGATAATCCAACATTAAGAAAAGAAAATGCTTTAGCACTTACAATAGGTAGGTGCTACTTATTATACAATGTTGTAGGTTTTCAACTTAACACATAACAGAGGATCAATGATATGAATGAAAAAAAGGGAAAATATACAAACTGCAAAATAAGTATCAACAGTTGAAAACCTTAAGAAAAAAAATAAGCCTGTGGGTGTGTGTTAATCCTGCACTTCTACAGAATAGTTTCAAATTATAATTATGAGCAAAGAAAAATGAAAGAAATTAAAACTTTGGATTCCCACAGAGTCATTGGTTTCATGGCCAAAAGGACTCAGTGTAACCATCCAGTCTGATCTTTCCCAGACTGTATTTCCTGTACAAAATAAAAACTCTTTATAAATGTGCAAGAAAATCTTTCAAAAATTATGTTAGCTACTGATAAAGAGTCTTTGCATAACAGAGAATCTCCTGATCTGCAGTAATTTCCTTCACTGGTAAAATGTTGCAGTTAATTTTCTTGGTAAATCTCTCTAGTTGTGTAGGTTCTTTTCAAGCAGGTAATAGGAATAGTTTTTACCCTCATTTTACCTTCTGAATAGACTTGACTATAGAAGAGATGCAAAAGACTCAAAACTGGGGAGAGGCTACTTCCACTGTGATTTTTAAGTTTTGGACTAATTCTTTGATCTAGCACTTCTATCATTTTCCGTCATCTATCATTTAGTAACAGTGTGAACAAACCACTGGGTGTAGAAAGCATGTAGAAAGCAACAAAGGGATGAAAAACTTCACAGAACGTACAACAAAACAGAGCAGAGGTGAAGAAGGCAACAGCATGAGAGAAATATATTTGCAGAACAGCATCTTGGTTACTGGGCTTTGCTGTCTAAGTGTGGCCTTTTACACTGAGACAGCCTGTTTGGTTTCCAAAGATTCTTTATGAACAACAAAGCATGTTTGCCTGGAGTAGAGTTATTTGGTCACTAATTGTAGAACTAGCTGAATATTCCTTTTTCAAGGCTCAATCAGAGTTCATTTGACTCCGGTAAGTATTAGTTAGTTATTTAATTGCTAGGTAGTGACTTTGGTAAACTTTAGATCTGATGCTTAAAGCTGTAAGTGCCAATTGATTAATATCTAATGCAGTGTTTATTCCTATGTGGGATTGGTTGTCTCAACTCACAGGTTTTGCAATGTTAGAATTAGAAACCTGTATTACTATGTGAATCAACTGAATTACTGTGTTACTGTACTATGTGAAACCCCTGAATTAAAACACAAGGCAGCACAATTTACATATAGTAACAAGATGTCTTGTAGGAGTGTTACATTTTGAAAAAATAAATGCAACCAATTTCTTACAAAATTTTCTGAGACTGAGGTAAGGCTTGTGAAAACTGATGAGGTCCCCCAATACTAGAAGATATCTCAATTTTACGTGCTTATTGTTAATGGATTAAGTGGAGACAATTTTTTCCTACACATGAAGTACTGTAAACTATACTGGTTGAAAGGTTGAAATCCAAAAAGTCATGCATTGTCTTAAACTTTATACAGACCAAAACATCAGCAGGGTGAATTAGGCACTTTAACTGCATGAGCTAACCCTTAGCAAGGAACTTGAGTTAGGATTCAGCTCCAAGATTAACAACCATTTTCATCCAGATATATACTATTATCTCTTCCAACTGTGTAATTCTGTATGGCATTTCAATGTGCTCAAATCCAGTGATGAACAATCCAGAGATTCTAATTTGCTGAAACCATTCTAGTTCTCAGCTAAAAATCTCACACACACACTCCTCATGCAAAGGACTAGTGAGTATTTAAGTACTAGTTAATATCAAAGCTAGAAGAAATTTTTAAAAATGGTATTGGATTATTATTCCAAGACCTTAAATACAGATTTAGTTGTAAGCTTGAGAACACAATTCTTAAATTTACCTGAAATCTGAGCTTGATCAAACTAAGCATACAGAGACTTGGTTCTGGAGGTATGCCAAAGGCTGTTCAGACCAGCTTGGTAGACCCAGCAGTTAAAATAAATAGCTACCATTGTGAATTCACATTTGGAAACTGTCTCCACTGTGCTACACTTGCCAGTATTTCTCCTTTCTTAGGTAATACAGTGCTCATGCTCAAACTGGTGAGGACATATTGGTCCTCTTTATCCTAATCATGCAGGTCTAGTCATCCCCATCTGTCAGGCGAGAAGAGCATAAAAACATTTGGGAAGAAAAGCATGGGATGTTTCCTGCTCCAATGAAGGGATGGTATGAATCTTTCGCACTGAAGCAATGCCTAGTACTGGTCTGTCCTCTGGTCATCCCTGTATGAAAGTCTACCCCACGCTCACACCCAGGGGTGAGTCAGACTGTTTTGGATGTCTTCACCAAAAAAGTGATGGGAAAACTATATAAAGACCATAATAGTTACAAAGAAACTAAACCAAAACTAACACCCTACACCTCACCATTTTACCTAGCAATTTTTTCCCCCTTCAAGTTCCAGCCAGGGAAGATGAGTTTGGATTTCGAGGTTAATAAAGACAATGTTTGGAGACTGTTGGTTTTCTCTCTGGTAGCCTGTCATTCATTCTGTCATCCATTCCCAGGCCTCCTTTTCTTGCTTGCAACAATAAACTGATTTCTATTTCATGACCCTACCTGCTTGTGTCTCTTGAGTTTTGCTAGTAACCAGCAGCAACTCAGATATGTCTACCATGGACCCTAAGCACAGGGCAGTCAGCAAAGAGCATTTTAGACTTCAAGCACTTTTAGCCTCGCTCTTTTCCTTCACAAGATTCTTAACCCACGAAGATCTGCTAGGAAGAGCAGGATAGGATGAGGTGTGATCCTTAATAAATGGTCATTTTGCAGGACAGGATGTTTCGTTAATAGGAAAATGTTACTAGTTCTTGCTAAGCAATTACTTTCATGATGTAGTATTTAATTAATAAACATAATTCATATATACACAGTGAGCCATAAGGATGACAGTATGTTCCCCAAAGATTTTTTGGCAATTAAATTTTATAGCTTCCCAAGCATCTTATTCTCTGTGCTCAAAGGAAAACATTGACAACTTTGTTTTGTTTCTTCCAGACTCTGCTGCTAAATGGGATACACTGCCACAAACTACAAAAGAGAAATAAAAATATCATGTTAAATCTTTTGGAACACATTACTTACTGTGGTGGCACAGTGGATGTCTTTCCATACATTGGCTTCCCTGGAGAGATCTGAGACTTCAAAAAAGTTATCAAGAATAACTTCCCCAATCATGTCATGTCTAGAAAATCTGTCAAAATCATAAACACTGAAATGCAATTTCCTGTTGCTGAGTTGATCATAGGCTACAGGAAACTGGAAGGTTTCATCAAAGACAGGATTTAATGTCTTCCTGTGAACTCGTGTCTGAAACTTCTTTTTCCTATCTGGAAGCAGATAAATCTTAACGTAGGGGTCGGATGTTCCTGTGAAGTCTTTAGCAGGCAGATCTAAGGCTTTGACAATTGTGACAGCCAGAAGCTCATTCTCATAATCATACCGGAGAGTGAAGTTAAGTTTTCCACATGTTTTCACATCTTCTTGTTGCCCATCAGAATCCACAGACTTCTGTTTGTAGAGTTCTGGTTTTATTCTCCCAATGCTGGTTGTGGTCTCTCCTCTTTGCAAAACTGGATCTGTCCCCATGTTAAAATCAACACTTGACACTTGCATCTGCCTTGGCAAGTGCCTCCTGAAAGAATTGTGCCTGCACACACACACACACACACACACACACACACACACACACACACACACACACACACACACACACACACACACACACACACACACACACACACACACACACACACACACACACACACACACACACACACACACACACACACACACACACACACACACACACACACACACACACACACACACACACACACACACACACACACACACACACACACACACACACACACACACACACACACACACACACACACACACACACACACACACACACACACACACACACACACACACACACACACACACACACACACACACACACACACACACACACACACACACACACACACACACACACACACACACACACACACACACACACACACACACACACACACACACACACACACACACACACACACACACACACACACACACACACACACACACACACACACACACACACACACACACACACACACACACACACACACACACACACACACACACACACACACACACACACACACACACACACACACACACACACACACACACACACACACACACACACACACACACACACACACACACACACACACACACACACACACACACACACACACACACACACACACACACACACACACACACACACACACACACACACACACACACACACACACACACACACACACACACACACACACACACACACACACACACACACACACACACACACACACACACACACACACACACACACACACACACACACACACACACACACACAAAACAAGCCATGGTTATCTCTGGGAAAAAAACCACACATTACTAAATAGAAAATACAATAAGAGTTAAAATATGTTCCTCCACT